CCAGAGCCTCCAGGCTGGGTCGTGCTGGTCTGCTGGACGACTTCCTCATCCTCCAAGCTGGGCTTGGGCCAAACAGCTGGTTGGCATCCTCAGTTTCCAGCCGGGCAGGGGCTGGCCTATCACCCAAATTTCTCATTCTCAAGTGAGGGTTGTGGTCAGCCTGCTGGTTGACTTCCGTAGTTTCAAGGCTGGGTTGGAGCCGGCCTGCTAGTCGACCTCCTTAGCCTCCAGACTGGGGTGAGTTCAGCCAGCTGTTTGACCTCCTTAGCCTCCTGGCTCAACTGGAGTTGGACTGCTGGTCGACTCCTGAGCCTAGAGGCTAAGCAGGAGCTGGTCTGCTGGTCGAACTCCTGAGACAAGAGGTGAGCTGGGGCTGGCCTGTAGGTCGACCTCCTGAGCTTCGAGGCCTACCTTGGCCATCCTGCTGGTCTACCTCCTCAGTTCAAGGCTTGGATGGAGCCGGCCTGCCGTTCAACATCCTCATTCTCCAGGCAGGGCTGTGTCACCTGCCGATAGACCCGTCAGCCTCCAGACTGGGCTGTGGCTGGCCTGCCTGTTGACATCACCAACCTCCAGGTTTAGCTGGGACTGATTACAGGTCCACCCAGTCAGTCTGCGGGTTGGCTGGGGCTGCACTGATGACTGACCTCCTCAACCTCCAGGTTGGGCTCTGTCACAAGCTGATGGACCCCTCAGCCTCCAGCCTGGGCTGGGTCCAGCCTGTTGGTCAACCCCAGAGCCTCCAGGCTGGGGTGGGGATGTCCTGCTGAGTGACCTCCTCAGCACCCAGATGAGCTGAATAAGGCCCACTGGTTGACAACCTTGGTTCTCTGGTTGAGCTGGGCCAGCCTCCTAGTTGACCTCTGCATCTTCTAGTTTGAGTCCAAGGCGAGCCTGTTGACTGTAGCATCCTCTCAATAACCTTGGGCTCGCCTGCTGGTCAACCTCAGCATCCTCCAGGCTGAGGCCAGCATTGGCCCGCTGGTTGAACTCAGCTGCCTACAGGCTCAGCATTTGGCCAGCCTGCTGGTGGACCTTGGCAGCTTCAAGGCTTAATTATTCCCAGGCAGGCCTGCTGGTTATCCAGAGAGCCTCAGGCCTCTCTCTCCATCCTGGCAGCCACCATACAGAGCTCACTCATCCTGCTGGAACCTTGGCAGCCGCAAGGCTAAGCCCTTGGTTGACCTGTTTTTTGGATTTCTTGTCCCACTGGTCAAGCCTAAGGCAGGCCTTCTGCTTGACCAGGACAGCCTCCAGGGACCCTGGTACTGGCCTCCTGGTTGAACTTCTTGGCCCGCAGGCTAAGTTCTGGGCTAGCCTGCTGGTGGACACAGGCAGCCTTCATGGTGACCCTAGCACCTACAGGCTGACTCTGGGGCCGGATTGCTGGTTGACCCCAAGAGGCTCATGCTGACCCCAGGGTCCAACTGGTAGTCAACTCCTATAGCCTGCAGGCTCACCTAGAACTGGCCACCTAGTGGACGATGGCATTCTTGAGGCTGAGCCCTGGACTGGCCTGTTGGTCAGCCACAGCAGCCTCAAGTCTTAGGCCTGAGCTGGCCTGCTCATCAAGCTGAGAGCCTCAGGCTTAGCCCAGAATGGGACTGGTGGTTTACCCTTGCAGGCTCCAGGCTCACCCGGGACTGGCCATCTGGTGGACCCAGGCAGGCTGAATGTTCAGCCCAGGTCAGCCTGTTGGTTGACCTTGCCAACACCCGGGCTGAGACCTAGGCAGGGTTGTTGGAAGTCCCCTGCAGCCTCCAGGCTCACCAGGGAATGGCCATCTTGTGGATCCAGGCAGCCTCTTGACTGAGCCTGGTGCCAGCCTATTGGTCGACCTTGTAGCACCCAGGGTAAGACCTGGGCAGGACTACTGGTCGATCCCTGCAGCCTCCAGGCTCACCCAGGGCAGGCCTGGTGGTTGACTTCCTTGTTCTGCAGGTTGAACCCATGTCAAGCCTGATGGTCAACTCCTGCTCATCCAGGTGACCCTGGGGCTGGCCTGCTGGTTTACCTTGAGAGCCTCAGACTAAGCCTGGGACTGGCCATATGGTGGAATCCAGCATCCTCAAGGCTAAACCTGGGGCCAGCCTGTTAGTCAAACTAGGCAGCATCCAGGCTGATTCCTGGGCTGGACTGGTGATCTACTGCAACAACCTTGAGGCGAGACCAGTTCGGCCTATTGGTTGACCTCGGCAGCCTCAAGGCTGACCCTGGGTCCATCCTGCCATTTGACCTCTTTGAAAACTAAGCAGTGTTCATTTCCCTCCTGACCCCTTTTGACTTGCCTGTTTGGCCTGTGCAGAAAGCAGTAATGGCTCGGAATGTAACCACAGGTTATCTCAAAATGAATCAAGTAGTGAATCCAATTGCAGCTGCTACTGAGGTCAACACGGCCGCCAGTCCTGTGGAAAATAAACTCTTGAGGGCACTATTGGCAGTGATTGAGCTGCCCAATGCTTTCTTTGTGATAATTACTGGCAATGACCCCCAGAAGCGGTCCACTTTAACCTGGAAGGCATGGCAGTACTCCGCAGCCTGTCTCATCTCGGGGCTTTCTTGGTTCCCTGGACCTTTCATAATCTTATATGAGACACTGTGATCATTCTGCTATCTCAGGGAACATTATGTTGATTGATGGCATCACCAGATTGATGGCATCGGCTGGCCCAGAGCCTGATGTGCTGCTCTCATTTTCCCCCTGTCCACACCGCTCTGTGGCTTGGGCCTGACCCCACAAGGAGGGAGACCTGCGGCACAGTTCCTCTTGGGCCTTCTGTCTATGTAGCATGGCCTGTCTGCCCTCTAGAAGCTGTGGTTCCAGGACTGCAGGGCCAGGCACATGGGAGAGAGGCAATGAGGGAGTCGCAGCTGAAAGGAGCATAGTGACCATCCCCCATTGGAGCTGCAACCACCTTTCCAGATCCTGCAAACTTCAGAGCAGGAAAGGACATCAGACTAGCCAGCACCAGCCCTTCTGGTTCTTGGATGTGCCTGAAGAAGTCAGTTGTTGCCTGCCCTAGGGACTCCCCACCTAGTGCTCCCCCTGTTAGGCTTCCCTGGCCCCTCTCTGTCCTCTGCTCTCCTGCTGGTATAGACTGCCCCAGACAGCCTCTTCCATCACAGGCAGGTATGTGCTATGCGATGGTGTGATGTCTGGTTTTTATTTAAATGAACAGCATGAGGAGGACAAAATTATAACCCATGAGAGATAAGAATGCCTTGGGAGGTGAGGTGTATCCGCCCCACTCCTAGACTCCCCTGTCAGCCTGGAGTGGAACTCAAGGGCAATTAGATTTTACGTATTTTCCTTTTTATACTTCAATAAATATTGCCTATGAAAACCAATTGACATTTTCATACTTAATGCATAATAACTAGTCTTATAAATCTAAGTTCTCCCTATAAATCTAAATTAAAGGTCCAGGTTTAAATAGATTAAAGACAATTAATAAAGTGCTAGCACATCACCATTACCACTTTTTCTTCAAGTTAAACTTTCATTTTCAAAGGAAATTTTTTTTTTGTGCTCTGTGTGGGGGTAGAAAAAGGGGAGCCGGGCTTCTGGGGTCATTGTCTGACTCGTGGTTCTATGGGATGGTCTGCTGGGACGTGAGGAGAGCCACCTGGAGATCACTGAGAATGGACTGGAATGTTCTCTGGTCCCTGCCCCCAGACTGGGCCATTTGAAGAGATGGGACAAATCGTTTTCTAGTTGAGGGGGTTCCGGTGGTCTTGCCATGCACCCAGGATGGAGATTGGAGGTGAAATCCTCTGCCTCTCTCTCACACCTACTTCAAGTGGCAACCAAATCTCTCCTCAGGCTCCCACAGTTTTTTCTCCTAAAAGGACCCTTTCCCCCATGCCAGCTCTTCTTGTGTTGGTCCATGGGACCACCACGTCCAGTCTGAGTTCGTGCAACTGTACTCTGCCTCCTCCTGGTTCTGGCTCCTTCTCTCCTGCTCCTGCCCCCTCCCCATGCAACATCTCATCTTTCTGAAATGCACATTCCACCGAGTGTCCCCATGGGTTCCTGCCCCCAGGGCTCCCCACTGCACTCAGGGTCAAGGGCAAACTCTTCCACATGGTTCCCAAGATCCATCTTGGTCCATTCCCTGTTGCCTCCCTGTCTTCAGTGATCACCCCCAAATCCCTGCTACCTGCCGGGCCACACGATCCTGCCTGCCTCCCCCACAACCCTGCCTTTCTCCTGACCCAGGTTCTAGGGTGGGAAAGCTGAAGTTTCCAGACTGGCCTCCAGCCCTTGCCCCTGAGAGGAGTCCTGCTTCTCTCCTCCCCCGAAGGCCAGCAGGTGAGCTCAGGATCCAAGTCCCTGGGTGGGGTGTTGGCGCCTGTTCTTTCCTTGGATAACTTACAAATTATCACAGAAAGAAAGCACCTGAACCCCAGTTGTGGGACAAGGAATGGTCACTGGTCCAGAAATGAGAGGCGAGGCTTGGATCTCTGCTGTGCAACCCAGTCTTGCATTCCCGACTCTGCGCCCCCCATCTTCTGTCTGGCCACGGGGACTTGGCACCCTGTGACAAAGATGTCCATCTGGCACCAGTGTGTGGCTCCCACCCGGGGCCATCTCTGTGACCACCCAAGGTCTCTGCTTGAAAGACAATGGGCCTCACCACTCACCGAGCAGCTCCTGTTTGCCAGGCCAAGTACCCGACAGCCATGGCTCCACCATGCCCTCGAGGCCTTCCAGATTGGGCCTCCAGGGCCCAATCCAGGGCAGCTCCTGTTTGCCAGGCCAAGTACCCGACAGCCATGGCTCCACCATGCCCTCGAGGCCTTCCAGATTGGGCCTCCAGGGCCCCATATCCAGGTGATGGGCATGAGGCTTAGACAGCCCCAGGGTCGCTAAGCTGATGTTAAACCAGGGCACAGTCACTCAGGAGCCAGACTTCAACTCCCCAGCTGTGAGGCTTCAGGTCCACCCTCCGTGCCTCAGCTTCCCTACCTGCAGAATGGGAGGACACCCCAGCACTCACCTGGACAGGACACAGACAGCACGTCCTCAAGTTCCCAGCCGTGTGTTATCTGCTTCCATGAAAGAAGAACACCCTTAGGAAGCTCCAGCATTGACTCGTGTTTGATTTCAAACAAGAATGAGCACCTGTCACCCAGATGCCATGTTGAGAAGAGTTTCGGCCAGTGGGTTTGCATGACTCAAATTCCAACCTGCTATCGGCACTGGTGACCCGACCCAAGAAGTCCCCTCCTGTCACCTGTAATTCTGTGTCCTTCTTTAACACATGCCGGCTCTGTGGGCACTGCAGAGCCAGGCGCTGGGGTGGCACAGGAGAGCAGACCTCTTGCTGTGCAGCCCACCGTCCAGTCACAGGAAAGCGTGGGCTGGGTGATAGCGCGGCCAGGTGAGCTCATGTGGCTGTGAGGGAATCCAAGGAGGCGGAGAGGCTGGAAGTAAAGCAATGTTTACTGAGTGTTCTTTCCAAGGGAGGAAAGAGCAGGAGCCCGGAATGTGTTTGTGTGTATGTGTGGGGGGAAGGGCAGAGGCAGGGGGTTGTCTAATTTCATATCTGGGCAAAGCCTTGAGATTTTTTTGTGCTCACTTAGCAAGCTCTGGGCACATCCTGATCTCTGCAGGTGGTTAGCAAGTTGATGGTGCTGGTGGGGGCTGTCTCTACAACACTCGGTTTCCATAGCCACCAGTGTGACAAGCAGACCCCTGCACTCAGGCCAACCCTCTGTACATGGGTCGGGATCTGTGGATACAAGCTCCACAGGTGGTCTCTCTTGGGTCCCCTCTTCTGCTGTGGGCTCCACAAGTGACGTTCCCACCCATTCCCTGAGGATGGTTCCTCAGCTCCTCACCCTTACTCAACAACGAGCAGGGCATCACCCACAGGTGATTTTAAGAGGCTCACCTGCCTTCTTTAGCATCCTTTCGGCTATTTAACAACCATTCAGGGCTTCCCAACCTTGCGCCAGCTTTCTGCCTTATCTAAGTTGGCTTTTTTGATACATCTCCTCTGCCTGGCTGCAGAGAACCTCACACAAGGCTGCTTTAAACGACTAAGGCCCACTGGCCACCGCCTGATTCTCGTCCTCTGGGGTGTACAAATGATACCATCCACCCCATGGTCCCACAAACATAACATGACCCTGCCAGTATTCCCCGACATTCTGGCAGGATTGTTAGTCCATCAGTTTTTTCCTTGCATCAGTGCTGGGTGAGCTCCGAATGACAAATTGTGGTCCTCCTTCTTCCCCAATGAGTCTGCTGCCCCAGGGGTCATGGTCTGGTCCTTGAAGGCTGTCTTCTCCTCCACTCAAGGTCTTGTCCCACAGCTCCCGGACCTTGTCCACCTCCTGTGCTCCTGCAGCGTCTTTAGCTCTTCCCGCAGCTCCTGGACTTTGGCCACCTCCTGTGCAGCCTTGTGCCTTGTGCTCACAGCCTGCTACCCCTCAGTCCCTCCTGAGGTCTTCAGACCCGTCTGCATCAAATCATCCTGCAGACTACACCACTGTGCAGTGCCAGCAAGGCGCAGAGCAGGTTTTCTAGGATTTGGGCAGACAGGTAAAGGAGGAGTCCTGGAGCGCTCAGTGGATTTTTTTCAGGCTTTTAATGATCTTTCTACAGGACTTGTAGTGAGGCAACCAGGCTCAGAGCAGGCAGGGGGGCCAGAAGGCTGGGAAACCTCCCAGGCCCCAGTGAATCTTTACTCCTTCTGGGCTTTCGAGCGTTCTCTCGTGGTCTCTCCGCTGGTCTCTACTGCACTCCGCGCTGTGTCCTCTGTTGCTGTTCTCTGCACTGTTGCTGCCCTTATGGGCCCAGTCTCTCGGCTCAGATGTGGCCACTCATGCATGCCCACGCCACACTCAAGGTGCTGCCATCAGGCACGCCTGTAAGACCACAGGTGTCGATCATTGATGCTAATGGTGCAAGGGTGGAAAAACCTGATCACTTCTATTTACCCTACTGGTTCTGACCTGACACCTCCCCACCCAACAAGCCCAAACCCCTCACCCTCACTCCCACCCATGCCCTGGGGATGACCTGCAGCGGCTCTGTGCTCAGCTGCCCTGTGCTGGGATGAGCCAAGCAGGTGTGGCCGCTCATGCTTGTTGGGCGGGGAGGGGGGGCCGGGGGGAGGGTAGCGAGGGTGAAAGCAGCCCTGCTCCAAGCTCAGGTTGTTTTCCCGTTCTAATTAACATCACTGAGAATTAAACTCTACACCCCGACATGAGCCTGCTCCCCTGAGAGCATTCCAGCTCAAATACTGATTAAATATGAAATGGTTCCCATCCTCTGAGCCGAAGTCTGGAGGCACAAGCCAGAGATGGAAGCTGTAATTACCAGCTGATTATGCAGTGTGAGTTATTAAAAGATAAAGTAAAATGAAAACCAACATCCTCCAAATAAAAACAATTAACAACATAAGCAGTTATTTCTGCTCTGTTTAAAGGGACGTGGGCTTTTTATTCTTTCCTTGCTTTCCAGCCTGTGGCTCCACGTGTTCATCAGCTCATTTGCCGAGCACTGCTATGTGACAGCACATCCCAGGGCAGAGATGAGAAATAAAGACCTGGGACAGGGCACCCGACCTCGGAGGCTCCCGTCAGGAGAGAGACACGGTCCTTCAGGGAAAGATGCTGACAGATGTGCAACTACAACTTGGGGTGGGGGTGGGCCAGGTGATGCCAAGTCCCAGGAGAGGGGGGTCACACAGGATGACTGATAGCTGGTCTGGTCAGGGACTATACCAAGCCTAAACCCAGTGGCTACCAGGACATTTCAACTCTTCCTCCCACTTGCATAGTCATCAGAGGAAAGGAGCTACATGAGGACAAGTGTCTTGTCTAGGGAGGGCACAGTCACCTGCATCCTGTCTGCCAAGATTCAGCCTCAGCTCAGGGGGCTCCTCCCTGCCCTGGGCCCCACCTGGAGGCTTCATCACCTGGGTTTCCTCTAGGGTGAAGCTTGGGCACCCTCTTGTGGCCACAGCCCTCTGCACAGTCCCCCACCATCACCCCCAAGTGGCAGTAGATTCTCCAATGCATGGAGGGAGCCAAGGAACCTACTTTGATTGTGCAAAAAGGCACCTGAGGCTCTGAAGATGCTGCAGCTTATCTCAGGCCCCTCTTCCAGTTGAGGGTGGCCCTGGCCTCCAGCCTGGCTTCCTCATCTTGGCGGGGAAAGGGTGGAGATGAGAGGAGGAAGATGAATCTTGCACCTGTACTATTCTCCCCAACCACCCTACCAGAGGACACACCAATGGGCCCAGAGTGTCCACTAGCTTGTGGGCAGCCTCTGGGAACTAACAGCTAGTGCAAGTAGATGTTCAGTGGCACTGCCAGGCCCAAGCACTTGTCAGCTGGCAGCCTCCCCCATCTCTTCAATGCTGCCCTATCCAGCTGCTTCAGTTGCCCTCCCACACTGACACCTGCTAGCCAGAGTGGTTAGAATTGGCCAGAACCAGTTTGAACCTGTCAGACTAGCCAGAAAAAATTTGAACTGGTATTACCCAGTCAACAACTGGTCAGAACCAGTTTTACCCATTCAGAACCTGTTTGAGTTGGTTTTATCTGGGTCAGAACTGGCTCTAACCAGTTTTAGCAGTCAGAATCAATTTGAACCCACTATGTCCAATCAGAACTGGCTTGAATCAGTTTTAGCTAGTTGGAACTGGTTTGGACCAGGTTTATTCAATCAGAACTGGTTTATCAGTAACAATCGGTTTAGGCCAATCAGAACTGATTTTAACCGGTTTATCTGATCAGAACAGGTTTGAATCTTTTTCACTGCTGAAAACGGGTTTGTGCCTATCAGAACTGGTTAGAGCCTGTCAGAAATACTTGAACTGGTTTTATCCAGTCAGGTCTGATTTGAACATGTTTGGACCACTATGAACTGCCCAGAACAGTCAGACAACAGAAAAGGTTTGAACCAGTTTCATCCATTCAGAAACAGTTTGGAACATACTAGAACTGATATTATGCAGTCATAACTAGCGTTAGCCATTTTGAATCATTTCTGATTAGAATTGCTTTTACTGGTTCTGACCAGTTCAAACCAGCTGAAAACAGTTGTGTACTCAAAGCAACCAACTGAAAATGGTTCCAACTGGTTCAAATGGCTGAAGCATGTTCTAAGTGGTTTAAACCAACTGAAACTGACACCAACTAACACCAGCTGAAACAAACCAACTGAACTGGTTCTGACAAGTTCAAACTGACTGAAACCGGTTCAAACTAGATGAAACAAGTCTGACTGGCTGGGATTGGTTCTGGCCAGCTGAAACCAGTTCTGACTTGTTCAAAGAAACAAACTGAGAACAACTGAAAGAGAAACCAACAGACACTTGTTCTGACTGCTCAAACTGAAACCAACTGAATTGGTTCTGACTGGTTGATACTGGCTCCAACTCGATCAAACCAGCCGAAACCCATTCCAACTAGCTGAAACCAGTTCCAACTGATTGAAAACAGCTGAAACCAGTTCTGAATTGTTCAAAGCAACCAATTGAAAATGGTTCCAACTGGTTCAAAATGGCTCAAAGTGGTTCTGAATGGTTCAAACTAACTGAAATTGACATCAGCCAAAACCAACGAAAACCAGCTGAAACTACCAACTGACTCTGGTGCCAACCAGTTCAAACCAGCTGAAACTGGATCAAACCAGCTAAACTGGTTCTGACCTATTCAAACTTGTCCTCACTGGTTCAAACTGGCTGAAACCAGTACAGCCAATTCGAACCAGTTCAAGCCGGCTGAAACTGGTTCTGACTAATTCAAAGCAACTGAAGCCAAATACAACTGAAACTGAAACCAATGGAAACTGTTTCCAACTGCTCAAACTGAAACCAACTACACTTGTTCCAAATGGCTGATACTGGCTCCAACTGGCTCAGAGCTGCTGAAACCAATTTCAACCAGCTGAAACTGGGTGGTTCAAGCTGGCTAAAACCATTTTTGACTGGCTGAAACTGGCTAGTTCAAAGCAATTGAAACCAAAACCAATGGGCACTGGTTCAGAATGCGCAAACTTAAACCAACTGAGACTGGTTTGGACTGGCTGACACTGGTTCCAACTGGTTTCAACCAGTTCCAAACAGTTCTGACCAATTCAAACCAGCTGAAGCCAGTTCTGAATTTTTCAAAGCAACCAGCTGAAAATGGTTCTGACTGGCTGGAAATGGCTGAACAGTTTCTGAACGTTCAAACCAATTGAAACTGACACTACCTGAAACTGAAACCAACAAAAACCAACTGAAACTGAAACCAACCGACACTGGTTATGACCAGTTCAAACTGGCTGAATCTGGTTCCAATCACATCTAACCAGTTCAAACCAGCTGAAACTAGTTCTCACTGGCTGAAACCAGTTCCAACCAGTTCAAACTGTCTGAGATCTGTTCTGACTTTTTCAAAGCAACTGAAACCAAAAACAACAGAAACTCATTCTGATTGGCTGACACTGGCTCCCGCTGGCTCAGCCTCTCTGAAACTGGTTCCTACTGGTTCAAACCAGTTCCAAACAGTTCAAACCCTCAAGCCAGTTCTGATATGCTCAAACCTGTTCTCAGCAGTTAAAAAGTTTCAAACCAGTTCACACCTGATAAAGC